AAAAAAAAAAATAATAATAAAAATAAAATAAAATAAAAAAAACTGGAGGCCGGGCGCAGTGGCTCACGCCTGTAATCCCAACACTTTGGGAGGCTGAAGCAGGTAGATCACCTGAGGTCAGAAGTTCGATACCAGCCTGGCCAAAATGGCGAAACCCCGTCTCTAATACAAAAAAAAAAAAAAATTATCTGGGCGTGGTGGTGCATACCTCTAATCCCAGCTGTTGGGGAGGCTGAGGCAGGAGAATCGCTTGAACCCGGGAGGCAGAGGTTGCAGTAGGCTGAGATGGCGCCATTGAACTCCAGCCTGGGCAATAAGAGCGAAACTCCGTGCCCTCCCCACACCCCCCAAAAAAGGAAGAAAAAATTTGGTTGCTCCAGAAATATTTTCCTTAACGTGAAACAGACATGTAAAGAATGTAAATATACATATTCCAGAGAAACAAGAAGAATAATTTCCCAAATGTTGGTGCAGACAAGGTGTCCAAGGTGCAGGCTTTGCGGGCAGCTTTCCTCTTTTCTTTTTTTTTCCTTCCCCCCCACCCCCAGACGAAGTCTTGCTCTTGTCACCCAGGCTGGAGTGCAATGGCTTGATCACCGCTCACTGCAACCTCCGCCTCCCGGGTTCCAGCGATTCTCCTGCCTCAGCCTCTGGAGTAACTAAAATTACAGGCCTGCGCCACCACGCCAAGCTAATTTTTGTATTTTTAGGAGAGACGGGTTTCACCATGTTGGCCAGGCTGCTCTCAAACTCCTGACTGCAAGTGATCCGCCCCCGGCTTGGCCTCTCAAAGTGCTGGGATTACAGGCGTGAGCCACCGTCACCGGCCGACTATTTTCTTTTTATTAGTTTTTTTGGTTTTGTTTTGTTTTGTTTCATTTTGTTTTGAGACTGCATCTCGCTCCGTCACCCAGGCTGGAGTGCAGTGGCGGGATCTCAGGTCACTGCAACATCTGCCTCCCGAGTTCAAGCGATTCTTCTGCCTCAGCCTCCCGAGGTGACCAACTATCTTTCTTAAGAAAACAGTTGGCTGGCCTGGCACAGTGGCTCACGCCTGTAATCCCAGCACTCTGGAAGGCCGAGGCAGGCGGATCAGGAGGTCAGGAGTTCAAGACCATCCTGGCCAATA